ACTGAGACATAGCACCCACACAACCACGTGACTGTTTCATATTCTGATTTAAAAATTGCGCAATCCCCTTGCGCAGGTTTCGAGTGTCATGCGCTTCGGATAGTCACAGTTCACAAGCACTTTCACTACCCAGCACTTCACTATTCCACAAAAGTTTTATTTTATTTTGATTATATATGCTTATATGAGCCTTGCCTATGAACTCATATTATTTCATAAATTAATTCATACACTCATTTTCTTCATACATTGTGTAAAAATCTACTTTAACACTAATGATTTTTTAATTGCTTTGTGGTTTTCATAGCACAAAGTGATTTATTACATAAAACAATACAAAAAAAATTGGGGAAGGTGGATTTTCCACCTTTTGACCACAAGATGTCGTTAGTGTGCAGCATGTCGAAAAGCTTTGAGTAATGAACCGATACACTTGAGGGGGAAAGCCTCAGTGCTTCAGAAAGCTTCATTTCACCATCACTACCATCTACAACATGTAGGCAAACAGGACGTGCACATGAGAGCCTTTGGGGCGGCACCGACTCCGCCATCCGAGACAACTCCGAGCCCGAGGAAGGAATGAGAGAGCACCTTTACTGTCTATGGAGAGCGTCAATCAGCACCAGAGAGAGAGAGAGAGAGAGAGAGAGAGAGAGAGAGAGAGAGAGAGAGGAAACGGATGTTAATCTCTTGCCTGCACAACTCTTGCGTTTCGTTTGCTCACACACCACAAGGTGTCACTGTGGCCTCAAAGCTTCAGCACTGCCACTCTGAGCTCGATTGCTGATGTCTGTGTTAAAACACGCCCCCCTCATTAGAATACGGAGAAAGAAATGTTGGAATAAATAAATGTGGAAATAATTAAATGTGGAAATAAATAAATGTAGACGTAGAAACATAAATACATAAATGAATGTGGAAATAAATAAAAGTAGAAATAAATGAATAAATGTAGAAATAAATAAATGTGTGAAAAAAATACAATTATACATAAATATAGAAATAATAGTATAAATATTAATTCGTACTTTTTTACATTTCTTTGTATATGTATGTATTTTTGCTTTTTTACATTTCTTCATATATTTATTTATGTATATTATTTTTAATTAAGTCAGCTTTGGCATTCCATAACAAACACGGTGTTGTTCATACAGATATCCTGACCCAGAAACGGCACAATATGAGTGACTAAATTAAAAACATAAGATGGAAAGCATTGCCTCCCTTCAAACTTGTTAGTCCTCAACCACTTACATTATTTTTATAAAAAAGTTAATTTATAGACACTCACCTAAAGGATTATTAGAAACACCATAGGCCTACTACTTCTGTGTTCGACCCTTCAGAACTGCCTTAATTCTACGTGGCGTTGATTCAACAAGTGGTTTTAGTTAAATATCTAAATTGAAAACATTTTTCCAAAAAGGTTTGATATGAGCCTTCATTTAGAAAAGGAATCATGTAGTTGAATATAGTTTAAATATTACGGATGTTACCAGTTCAAAAATCACTTACAAATCAGAGGAAATGGACTGCCGTAAAACAGCGGCACAATATTTGGCTGCTTCAGGGAAGAAAGCACAGAAAGTGATTGCTTTTAAAATTTAAAATGTTATCTGACAAAGCACCCTGAAATCTCACGTTCTGCTCGCGTCAGAATCCGGCAGGAACGACTAAATCACCTTTACAAACAGACTCGAAACACAGATCATCTATTTACAGCATTTATTTCAGAAATAACAGATTAAAAGCGAAACGAACCAAACATGCTCCTTCCACACTAGCGGGAGAAGCCGAAACGGGTGAGTCAGCGGAGGGTTAGCGGGTCACACGAAGGTGATGCGCGAGCGGGCCTGGTTGATCTGCCACACGTTCAGCTCCTCGTACTCGTCCAGCGCGGCCTGGAACTGGGCCGGAGTGAAGCCGCGTGACACACAGCGCTGCTCCGCCTCGTTCATCCGCACGGATCGGGCCGAACCCTCGCCGGAGAGCTCCCGCAGCAGAGAGAAGATCACATCCGCCGGACGCTGAGCCCTGAGGACGACAGAGAGCATTCTGGGAGATGCTCCACTGATCACGTGTTTAACGCTTTCTGAGCCACTCCACTGATCAGTAGAAGTCACTGGTTGGAGTAGAAGTGAAGTAGAGATAGAGATGGAGTAGAGATGGAGTAGGGATAGAGTAGAGGTGAAGTAGAGATAGAGATAGTGTAGAGATGGAGTAGAGATGGAGTAGGGATAGAGTAGAGGTGAAGAAGAGAGATAATGTAGAGATGGAGTAGAGATAGTGTAGAGGCGGAGTACAGATAGTGTAGAGATAGAGTAGAGGTGAAAGGTCAGGATACCTGGTGTTGCTGGTCTTGTCGGCCTGCAGCGAGTCTTTGCTCATCTCCATCAGCCGCATCGCCTCATTAACATCCTCCTTCTCTACAACATCCACCATCCGCAGACGAGCCTGCGCACACACACACACACACACACACACACGTGAATAAAGGAACCACATGTTCCGTAAAAACATCATTTCCAACCTCCGGTTTCTTTCAGCAAACGGACGAGCTGTGCCGGCACTGTCAGACCGAGACAAGTGCAATGCCTTCTGGGAAATCAGCAACTGCCCAAGTCTCGGCCTCTCAACACCAGCTAGTCTCTGGGTCATGCGTGTGAGGGGGCGTGTCTCCGGGTCACGCGTGTGAGGGGGCGTGTCTCCGGGTCACGCGTGTGAGGGGGCGTGTCGTGTGCAGTCAGTTTTGCATGGGTTTGCACAGCGGCGTGACCAAGGCTGACTGCCGACCCCGCAAAGCTGACCGCCGCCACGGCAACAGGCGTGTTGGACAGCAGCACGTGACCTGGAAGAGGAAGTGTGTGAACGGCAGAGTGTGTTGTGAAGTGCCGTTTTTACAGTAGACATGATCACAGCTACCTGCACAAACAGCACTTTTAACACCCAACGCCTCATCAGATCATGTCCATCGGTGCGTCGGCAGACTCTGACCCAACAACAGGAACGGATTCTCAGCAGGTCTTGCTTTCCATGGGAATCGAACCCATGAGTATGGCCAGCCAATGCTCTACAGTGTGTGTGTGTGTGTGTGTGTGTGTGTGACTCACCAGGGCGGTGGACAGGCGCAGGATGGACAGCAGTGTGCGGGCCGAGGTGAAGGTGGTGTCTTTACTGACCCGAGACTCTTTCCTCATCTCCACGTACGCCGCTGTGATGTAATCCGACAGAGACTCGGGAACCACCGGCTGCTTCTGCTTACACTTACTGATGTAGCGCCTGAGTGTGTGTGTGTGAGAGAGAGAGAACATCAGCTACAATCATGTGTGTGTTCAGCAGTGGACACTCAACGGCTCGGTCTGAACACCATGAAGATGTTTTCTGCTTTGCATTGTGGGCAAAAAAAGCCAAACAACAGAAAGATTAAGAAACTAAACCACAAATAAAATGTTATCAATCATGTTTACTGTTTCAGCCCTATGGTGTGTGTGTGTGTGTGTGAGTCTATGTGTGTGAGAGAGAGAGTGTGTGCGAGTAAGAGTGAGAGAGTGTGAGTGAGTAAAAGCGTGTGTGTGCGAGAGAGTGTGTGAGTGCATGAGTGTGTGAGTAAGAGTGTGTGAGTGAGTAAGAGTGTGTGTGCGCGAGAGTGTGTGAGTAAGAGTGTGTGAGTAAGAGTGTGTGTGTGTGAGTAAGAGTGTGTGAGTAAGAGTGTGTGAGTAAGAGTGTGTGAGTAAGAGTGTGTGAGTAAGAGTGTGTGTGTGAGTATGAGTGTGTGAGTACCTCATGAGCTTCATCTGGATGGGGCTGAAGTGTGTGGGCGGCTGCCGGCAGTGCTGGTGCACGTATGTGATGTGCTGCGCGAGTCGGAGGTCGGTGTCGGCGTCGGGTTTGTCCTGGATGAGCCACAGCAGGTCGAAGCGCGAGAGCAGCGCCGCCGGCAGCTGGATGTTCTGCTCCAGGCTCTTGCGCGGGTTATAGCGTCCGTACGCCGGGTTAGCCGCCGCCAGGATCGAGCATCGCGCGTTCAGAGAAGTCATGATCCCCGCCTGAAACACAGGACACATGTGATCGCACTCCTACAGGGTCACATGACCAGCTCAAACACACAGGAGTCACATGACCGGCTCGACCGCGCGCACCTTGGCGATGGAGATGGTCTGCTGCTCCATGACCTCGTGGATCGCCGTGCGGTCAGCGTCGGCCATCTTGTCGAACTCGTCGATGCAGCAAACGCCCAGATCCGCCAGCACTAAAGCTCCGCCCTCCAGCGTCATTTCACCCGTCACCGTGTCACGCATCACCGCCGCGGTTAGCCCTACGCCAGAGGAGCCGCGGCCCGTGGTGTACTGACCTGAGGAGAGACAGGGTGAGTCGGGGGGACGGTGTGTGTGTGTGTGTGTGTGTGTTGGACTCACTGCGAGGGGCGAGTCGGGGGGACGGTGTGTGTGTGTGTGTGTGTGTGTGTGTTGGACTCACTGCGAGGGGTGAGTCGGGGGGACGGTGTGTGTGTGTGTGTGTGTGTGTTGGACTCACTGCGAGGGGCGAGTCGGTCGATGTATGACAGTAGCTGAGACTTCGCCACGCCTGGATCTCCCATCAGACAGATGTTGATGTTCCCTATAAACACAGACATGCGTTTCTACAGCGACACAGGAAGTCAATGATATGATGACAGAAGTGATGTCATCTAGCACTACATCATCAGCAGCGACTCAAACAGCTGAGCCATCAACCAGTTCAGAGATTTAAATATTGGTTTTGGTTCAAAGCGTGTTCGGCCATGTTCACCAGACCAGCCTTCCCACTGGCGGCACCAGAACATGATGTGGTTGAACCTTTTTTTCTTCGCTACAGCAGTATTATTCACGGAGACCCTCGAGGGACGAGGTGGAGGCGGGACCCAACATGACCCAACGACTACAGCATCAGCGCAGTTATACAGAAATATTCATGAACTTCACCAACACCAAATATATTTCACACATCGCTGCTCTTCTGTCGGTCATACAACACTTACACTTACGTTTGGCAGACGCTTGATAGTCTTGAAAGATAGTTTGATAGTATAGTTTTGATAGTTCTAACACGTGGTGTGTACAACATTCGCTTGGGGTAAACCTCAAATAACCAAGAACACGGCTCCGATCATGGCGTTTCTGTCATTAACCCCTCGTGCTCGCGCCTGCACGCCTACCCGTCTATTACAACTAAAAGAAGTTTATATATAATATATATTCTGGCTAGTGTACTTCCGTTGGGTGAAAGTATGGTGTATTATAAAAAAACTAACGCTTAAATAAGTAAATCTTCCAGAAATATTTTGGATTCTTCATTATCTGATATTCTCTTGTTCTGTAGATTGAGCAGTCTGACTGAGAAATCATATTTCTGTGTCCACCGTCGTGTGCTTTCACAGTGATCGAGCTTGAGCAGCTCCCGCTTCCCGTGTGCTCACGCGCCGCTCCCGAGTGTGTGTGTGTACGCGCCTCTCCCGTGTGTGTGAACGCGCCACTCCTGTGCGCCGCTCCCAAGTCACATGACCACATCACACTTTAACTCGCACAGTCTCAGAAAAAAGCCGCATATGTCGACCAGCGAGGATCCCTGGAGAGTGAAAACAGGAGTCCAAAGTACAGTCAATAAATGAACAGATGTTGACCTCTGACCTCTGATCTTCATGCCCCGCGGCGCCTGCTCCACCCCCCCCACCAGCAGCAGCAGCAGAGCCTTCTTCACATCCTCGTGGCCGTAGATCTCAGGGGCGATCGAGCCCGCCAGCTTCTCGTAGAAGTCCTCCTCTGCGCACACACACACACACACACACACACACACACACACACACACATCAGTACACAGGCTCTGATGAAGTCCTCCTCTGCGCGCGCACACACACACACACACACACTAGAGGCTCTTTCTGAAGTTCTCTCTCTCTCTCTCTCTCTCACACACACACACACACACACACACACACATCAGTACACAGGCTCTGATGAAGTCCTCCTCTGCGCAAGCGCGCACACACACACACACACACACAGCATTACCAGTGATCTGCCGCAGCTCTTCGTCGCTCAGCTCTTCAGTTCCCAGCTCATCATCCTCAGTCTTATTCATCAGAGTGATGCAGTGACACTCCAGATACGTCTCCGACAGCAGACCCTGACACACACACACACACACACAGAGTTAAACATACATAGCACTGCACACACATCAACAGATACAAAACCGAGCTCGAGGTCATGTGACGTGTTTAGAATCAAAGGAAAACAAACATAGGCAGGGCTTGGTTCTGTCAGCTGGTTGATTGGCTGTTGCGATGTGGGCGTGGCACATAATGTGAGGAAGGGGCGGGGTCAAAGCGCACTAAGGGACGAGAGACCAGCATGAGTCACCAGAGTAATTAGTTACTAACAGTTATTCATTTTACAAGGTCCAATTTATTTCCCTTGATTAGACGGCGCTGGAGAAACCAAGGGGGAAATCCATCGATGAAGCCTCGCGGGAGCCGCCGTCTGGTAGCAGAACTTCACCTGCGTTAGCATTCCCATTGACTCCCATTCATTTTGGCGTCACTTTGACAGCGAGTAACTTTACATCTGAGGCGTTTGAAGACCCCATTTGTAGTTTATTTATTTCTAAAGAAACACGACAATGTATAAAAGGCTCCATTCCCGTGTAGCTTATGTTATGGCCCCGTAGAAGCAGTTTTAGTGAAAGTAGGCTAACAATTGCGTCATACCCACACGACTCTCTGTCGCACAGTAGAGAGATTACCGTATAGACAGGAGGAGAAGCTCACGCGCAATCGGGGAAACGTGGAGGCAACATGACTAAATAATTAATCAGAATCCCTAGCGAAAGTGTCTCCTGCTCCTCGCTCACGGACAGCTCATACACACACACACACTCTCCGCCTCGGCGAGATTCAGATTCTCATGCCACAGCACTAGAAGACAGACGGGTTGCTCTCCTCACATCTACGTGGTCAAGCTCTGTGTGAGTCTGCGCGTCAGGGACGAAAAAAATAAATAAATATCGCCAAAAACGGGCTTCAGTCGTCTCAATGGAGCTCCAATGGGATCGCTCGGTCCACTTCTTATACTGTCTATGGGGGAAACCAGATCACGACTGATCAATAACATCCAGCACTATATGATGATCGCTACACACACCACTCACGTCTGTGTGTTTAAGTGTGTGAGAGTTTGAGTGAGAGTATTTAAATGAGTGTGTGTGTGTGTGTGTGTGTGTGTGTTTCACCTGCACAGCCTGTCTGAACCCCGAGCGCAGCAGAGGCAGGAATATCCCAGAAACGGCCACATGATCTCCGGGCTGAGCAACACGCGTGTTCTCTCCGCGAGCGTAGATGCTCATGCAGCGAGGGATGTTCCCCACCGGCACCTGATCACTCTGATCACACACACACACACACACACACACACACACACACACACACACACACACACACACACACACAGTCAACATCATTAAACTTCACACACACACACACAAAATCAACATCATATTCACACACACACGTGACGCTTGCACACGTACATGCTCCTGAATGCGCAGCTCCTGGAACTTGATGAACTTTGACCCTCGCGTCTGCAGGTACAGCCGGCCGCCTGATTTGTTGGTGACGCACTCCTGACTGGGACACATGATGAGCGGAGTGAAGCTGGGAGAGGAGATCTGAGGAGGAGGAGTGTGTTAGCAGGAGAACACGCACACACACACTCCCTCACACACACACTCACCGGCTGGTAGGTCTCGGCGCCGCACTGGTCACATGTGTACGTGGCGACGGCCATCATGGGCTTGACCTCGGTGGCTCTGGTGACGATCCCTCTGACGGTGACCAGCTGACCGATGCTGTCGGCCTTCACGTCGCGCACCACCCGCGGCTTCAGCGTCGAGGGCGGCCGGAAGTACACCTCACTGACACACACACACACATGAGCGGGAGCGAGAGTGTGTGTGAGTGAGTCTGTGTGAGTGTGTGTGTGTGAGTCTGTGTGTGTGAGTGAGTCAGTGTGAGCGTGTGTGTGTGCGCGAGTGAGTCAGTTTGAGAGTGTGAGTGTATGTGTGTGAGTGAGTGAGTGTCTATGTGTGTGAGTGAGTCAGTTTGAGAGTGTGAGTGTATGTGTGTGAGTGTAACTCACAATCTGCGCATGAGTTCAGACGGATACTGGTTCCTGGAGTCATGCGTGTCTGCGGGGTCACGACCCCTGGTCTCCATCATCAGCCGGTGCTCGATATAAACGTCCAAGGCGTCTTTTGCCACCACCTCCAGAACACACACACACACACACACACTCTATCAGCGACACACACACACACCAGCACTGTACGTGTGCAGATAGAGCTCACGGGATAAAGATACACACACTCGTTACAGACTCCTGTTTATGATCGCCTGTCAGCGTTAGCAGTTTCGCCTCGCGCCGCGCACCGCTAGCTAGTCAGTATATTATATTATTACTCGGTTAATCGCCACTTGAACACAGAATCATTCTCGCGTTTTGGTGATTGTGTAGTTATTAGAGATGCACCGATCGCACTCTTCTAACCCCATCCCGAGTTCCACCTGCCGATCCCGAGTTCATTTTTTCAAACCACTTTACAGCACAAACGAATATTTATTTCCCATCTTCTCTTTAATAGAACCGTTACAGATAATCGCTATAAAGCGGGACTATATAAATGACATCTAAAGTGCAGAGTGTTATGGAAGAACCATTTCCTTTTCACATCCAATAAACAATTAATAAAAATTGATATATTTATCAAACTAAACTTCTGTATGAAAACAGGTAATGGCAATAAAATAATATACAAATAAGAATAAAGTAAATGCAGCCTTGCAGTTAGGGCTGTCAACTTCAGTCGATTAATGGGTCGATGCCGTCTTGGTCAACTAACATTCTTATTGGTCGACCAGTTGCATTTTTTTTAACCAATAGAAAGAAATTTTCAATGATTTACTCCTTGATGTTTATTCCTTTATAAGCAGTTATATATTACTGTATTCTAAATATAATTAGTCTATGTTTTATCCCCAACTTTAAATGCTTAATTTAGGCTATTTTGTAACAGTGCCATTAAGTGAAAATAAATCACTTAATTTGCAAAGAATTGCATTATTATTATAGTTTTTTTTGTATTTTTGATGTTTTTTCGTTGTTGTTTTATAAATGCTCTATGACAATTGTTAAAAAATGTTCAATCAAAACATCCCGTCTTTTTTTTTTTTGGTCGACTATTCGTTGCGCAGGACAAGACTTTGGTCAACCAAGTATTTCTTTGGTAGACTACAGCCCTACGTGCAGTTTATAGATATTTCTCTCTCTCACACACACACACACACACACACACAGGCCTATTGCAATCACTTGTACATCAACGACAAGTTATATTTCTGTGTGCATTAGACCGGCATAAAATCAGATTACATCAGACTGGCCGGCCGGTGTCAGATCACGTGAACATCGGCCGATAACGGTCACCAGCCGATCAATCGTGCATCTCTAGTAGTTACTTTGTGTTATTGTCATTTTAATCCGACTGACTGTCCGGTCGGGCGCACACACACACACACACACACCTCTCGCTCTCTGTACTCCGGCAGCAGCTCGTGAACCGCGTCTGCAAACAGTCCTGCGTAGCGTTTGCCGTTCTCACACACACTCTCCACCAGCTCAGGGTCTTCCTCCGCCACGTCGTCCAGATCCACCAGCAGCGCCACCTGCTCTCGGTGGGCCAGCGACACCTGCACGCACACACACACACACACACAGGTGAGCGGCGTCTCACACACTGATGGAGCTCGTCTGCAGGAACTGTAGGATCTCACCAGCTGAGCGCCGTATTTGAAGACCTTCTTCCCCGACTCGTCCTCGCTGTAGAACTCCTGCAGGAAGCGCTTGCACTTCTCTGGACACACAGAAAACCATCATCACACACACACACACACACCCGAGGAAAGCAGTGTGTGTAAGTGTTTATGCACGTGCAGGAAAAGTTTCAGATGAGCGCGCGACCAGCAGTGCACAAACACCTCAGTCACGTGGTTCGTGTTCGTAAACAAACGAGCAAAAACAGAAGAGCTTCAATGTCCAAAACTAACACACACAGCTCATGATAACGTCACACTCTTCGCACAGATGGAATGCACGTGACTCCAGCTTTACACATTTACTGGTGACTGAAACCAAACACGAAGGTAAATGAAGTGAAACGGCGCACAAATGATCGACGCGTCCAAACTGCCTCATGATGACTCGAGCAAACCATCGTGTTATTGTTGTGTCGCTCAGCCGCATCGTGACGCGATTCCGCGATATAACTGACGCGCGCGTAACGCCACTCGACGGCTGGTGTTGTTGTAAACAAAGCAGCACATGGTCCTCGTGCCCGACTACAGCCACGCGCTTCCGCGATCCCTCCGCGCTTCTCAAACTAGACCCGTCCGCATCGAACTCTGGGCTTATCAGCAGCAGCAGCATAATCATATGCGCCATCATCGGTCCGTGCTTCTGGTGTCGGTTCGGGTCACGCGGCCCCGTTTTACACGTTCAGAGTACACTTTCCCATCGTGCTTTAAAGCGACAAAAGGGTCGCCACCGATCGGAATAAACAGAAACACGTGATTCTGGACGGTCTGTTCAACTTTAGATTGGGGAAAAGCGTTGTCGGGGGCGAGCACGTGCTCTGCGCGCCGCCGCTCTTTGTTCCAAAACTCCATCCGGGCACTTCAGCACGTGTGCGCGCGCAACTCGCGCGGCCGCCGCCAACGACAATAAAACTAAGTCTTAAATCTGCTTTTCCACAAACAGCGAAACATCGCACACATGTACGACAGATACACGCTCCGCTCGGGCTCAGACGCACGCGACTCATATGCGGCTTTATCCTACTTCCGTTCCGTCGAACTTTGATGCGTGTCCGCAACTCAGACAGAGAACAGCTCTTCACAAATCTGATGTTAAATGTGCGCCAGAAGTGAATTTCCCAACTTACCTTTCTCCGCCATATAATCCTTGGGTGCCATGTTTATCGCGGAGAGGTGAACTGCGTCTCTAGGATAAATATGTGAATATTTCGCTTGGGAAACGCTTTCAGAGACTAAAAACGCAACAGGTTCTCGAGGACAGCTGCGAAAACTGGCGCGAGTCTGCTGGCGCTCTCCGCCAATCAGAGAGCGTCTGGGTGTGCGCGGGGCGGGGCTGCGCTTGTGGCGCGAAAATCTTACTAACGTAGTGTGTCATGTGAGCGGAAGGACCAATAGCTCAGCGATTTGAATCGGCGGTAAAAAAAAATGTCATGACAAAAGCTGCAAAAAGTTCAAAACCTCCGCCAGCACGAGAATCATATAAAATCTGACCAAATGTGAAGTGTCTGTTTAGTATGAATTTGCTTTTTATGGAGGACGTAGCCAATGTTGTCCCCAATAAAGATCATGATAGATTCTCCTTTAAAATGTTGAACAATATAAATAAGAGAGACTGAACCACTGCTCTTCCCCCTCTTGTGATTGCAGGACCTGCTTTAGTGTCTTTGGGGAATACACTTCTACAAAGCTAAGCTCATCTGTAAAATAATAATGTACTGGCTTGAAATGCTCCTGTTAGGAACTGTAACTGCAGGTTAGGGGTTGTGGGAATTCTGAAGCTTCAGCTCATTAATAAACTGATTAATAACCCAAACAAACACATGAAAGGTGGAACAGGCCGAACATAATCAAAGCAGAGTCACTGCTGTCGTGTGTACAGTTTATGTTGTGTGTGTGTGTGTAAGTGAGTGTGAGAGTGTGTGTGAGAGAGAGAGAGTGAGTGAGTGAGTGAGTGTGTGTGTGTAGAAAACTATTGCTCCATATCTGTTCAGTGTGATTGACTAAAGATTCAGTGAATTCAATAAAAGCTACTGTGAAAGGAATAAATGACTGACTGGTAAATCTGAAATCTAAAAAATACACAGAAAAGAGAAATAAATGTTTTATTTTAACAGGTATAATAGAGAAAACTGTGATTTAACACTTTAAACAACATGAAATCATGAAATAAAACAGTTTTTTTTCTGGTTTTCTTGCTCTTCTCTATCCATCAACACCAGAGACAGGAGCAGAGATAGCAAACACCAGACACAGCGGACACTAAACTAGACTAAACTAAACATCATAACGTTTTGGCGAATCCGAGTGTAGCTGTCCGGCCCTCAGTGAAACGGGAGATGATGTCATCAGTGGAACAGGTCCTCCAGGAAGCTGGCGGAGCCGTGAGTGGACGGCTGAGGGAACAGAGGAAGAGGATGAAGAGGAGACGATGATGACATCATCAGTTCATCCTCCTGTGTTTAACTCACCAAAATGAAGCCCATCTCAGAGTCTTCATCATCGTAATCTTCGATTTCTGGCTCTTCTTCATCCTCTGAACCGTCTTCATGAGCCAGAGAGAGTCTGAGCACACACACACACACACACACACACAGTCTTAAACACTGTTCTGCACAGAGGAACTGCACTGAGAGCTGTAGATGTGACTCACGTGCTGAGATGCGACTGGACGCTGCGAGTGAGAGGACTGAAGCGCCGTCTGGCACTCTTCCTCAGGAACCTGTCGCACACATGAGGGGTTACTCACACACTGATCTGAGCTCAGCTTCACTGGGTTACTCACACACTGATCTGAGCTCAGCTTCACTGGGTTACTCACACACTGATCTGAGCTCAGCTCAGGAGTAAGATAAGATGGCGGAGTACTTTCTCCCACTAATTGCACAACAAAGAAAAACAACAACGTTTTTCAAAGAAATGTGCATTAGGTGATTTTAATGAATTTATGAAGCCACGGCAAACTTTATCGTTACATATTACACTTTATAATGCCATCATACTCTGGTCAGGTGATTAGCTTACTTCACTGGACAACATCAACGCTAAACACTGTTCAGTGTTTCTCACGGACTCGTACACATTTACTACACTGTGGCATTCGACTCGCATATACGAGTTTTACCAGATGACTTGAACACACCGTTATTTACATCCTACTTGTAGCTTGCATATAAACGCATGTTTAAAGTGTTTTACTCGTCTGCGAAATCATTGTCGTCCATGTCGTCTCCACGAGTGTCTGGGATCACAGCTGCAGTTTCCACAGCGACCGAACCTGCACACACACACACACACACACCTGAATATAGATCATTTCCACACATGAATGTGTGTGTGTGTGTGTGTGTGTGTGTGTGTGAGAGAGAGAGAGTCTGAGAATGTCAATGTTTGTGTGTGTGTCACTGTATGTGTGTGAGTGTGTGTCAGAGTGTTGATGTGCATGTGTGTTAGTGTGTATGTGTGAGACAGTGTTGATGTGTTTGTGTGTGTGTGTGTGTGTGTTAGGTGTGCACTGACTCTGTGTGCGTCTGCGTTTCCTCCTGGGTGTGTGAGCAGCAGACGCTGCCGTTTCTCTCGTTCCTGCAGTCAGAGATCGTTCATACATCCTCACAAAGACAGAGTTCAGGGCCGACGAACAAACCCGACGCAGATCCGCTGCCCTGCAGGAGAGAGAGAGAGAGAGAGGGAGAGAGAGAGAGAGAGAGAGGGAGAGAGAGAGAGATATGGAGGGAGAGAGAGAGAGAGAGAGGGAGGGAGAGAGAGAGAGGGAGAGATATGGAGGGGGAGAGAGAGAGAGAGAGAGAGAGAGAGAGAGAGAGAGATATGGAGGGGGAGAGAGAGAGAGAGAAAAAGATGTATAAATCGCAAATTATGTCTATGGGAAACAAGTCATCAAGGTGATGCATCCAGTGTTGAGTCACATGATCATCAGTGATGTCAGAGATACTCACAGCTGCTTGCGTTCAGGCTGCAGGAGTTTGAAACTGAACTCACTGAGAATCTCCAGAAAACCCAGATTCATCAAGTCGCCCTTCTCAAGCCCTTGACTGGCAAACCGGACGCCGTCCCTACGCAAACCAGAGAAACCAATGAGAGAGAGACAGAAACCAGTCAGAGAGAGACAGAAACCAGTCAGAGAGAGACAGAAACCAGTCAGAGAGAAAGACACCAGAGAGAGAGAGTCAGAAACCATGCGACCATGATCTAGAGATAGAGAGAGGAAGACATTAGGCGCTTTTCCACTGCATAGTACGGTACGGTTCGGATCGGTACGGCTCACTTGTGGTGCTTTTCCACTGCATGGTACGGTACAGTACGGTTCGCTTTAGGTCGCTTTAATGGTACCTGGTCTGTTGAGGTTCCAAGCGTACCGTACCGGTACTAAAATGTGACGTGAAACACTGCAGATCACTGATTGGTCAGACAGAATCGTCACTACCAGCGTCACTACTAGCATCACTGGATTTGCGACACGAGACACGAGACACTTTTTTAGCAGTATTTTTGTTTTGCTGCCATCAGCCTCATTTTAAACCCATTTTTCCGTCTAGCAGTTAAAAACAACCACATACTGAGAATCAGGAACACCATCCCCTCGATAGTCTCCATTGTTCCTGTGTTGTGGGTTTGAAAATGTGGCTGTGGATGTTTTGGCAATACAAAATGTATTTTTTGCCATGCCAATAAAGCTTTCTGAATTGAATTGAGTCAGAAACCAGTGAGAGAGAGACAGAAACCAGTGAGAGAGAGACAGAAACCAGTGAGAGAGAGAAAGACACCAGTGAGAGAGAGACAGAAACCAGTGAGAGAGAGACAGAAACCAGTGAGAGAGAGAAAGACACCAGTGAGAGAGAGACAGAAACCAGTGAGAGAGAGACAGAAACCAGTGAGAGAGAGAAAGACACCAGTGAGAGAGAGACAGAAACCAGTGAGAGAGAGACAGAATGCAGGGCAGAATTAGGCCAATACCCTCTCCTTCTAAACATCCAAAAAAGAGCCATCAAATTCTGGAAACACCTAAAGACAAGCGACCCCAACACATACCATTACCAAGCCCTAAAACACCACGAGCTGAGCGTAGCGAGGAGTCCCCTGTGCCAGCTGGTGCTGAGACTGACTGGGCTCTCTCCTGCAGAGATCAGCTCGCCTCAGCACACACACACACTCACACACATTCGGCCCGCACAAATTATCAACACAGAACAAGACAAGTACATCACCCATTGGACAAACACCATTAAAAACCAACCCAAACTGGAATGTTATTCGGCACTAAATCGAGAGTACACCGTTGCGAACTACCTGAGCACAGTGAGTGATGTGAGACTCAGGAAAACCCTGACGATGTACAGACTCAGCGAGCACAGCCTGGCCATCGAGACGGGCCGGCGCAGACAGACCTGGCTCTCCCGTGAGGACAGACTCTGCCCGCACTGCACCCTGGGAGTGACGGAGACCGAGCTGCACTTCCTCACAGAATGCCCAAAATATGAACACATTAGAGACCACTATTACCCCAAAATTAATAATATATTTCCCCAATTTAACACCTGTAATCCGACCCAAAAACTTTGTTTCATTCTTGGCGAAGAAGCCAAATGCTCAAATATAGCTGCAAAATTTGTAGCATCCTGCCACATCCTGAGGGACGACCAGAAACCAGCAAACATACACTAAACACACACTCACTCACAGCCTAAGACCTACACACATGTATATAATGTTCAATATTTTTCTTTTTATGTATATATATACATATATATATATACGATTTCTAAATCCATTTTATTTTATTTATTAATCTGTTCATTTTGTTATTATTATTGTTTTATGATTTTGTGTACTAAATGTTCCAAATCATTTTCTATGTTGTTTTGACGCTTTGGCAATACAAAATGTATTTTTTGTCATGCCAATAAAGCTTTCTGAATTGAATTGAATTGACAGAAACCAGTGAGAGAGAGACAGAAACCAGTGAGAGAGAGAAAGACACCAGTGAGAGAGAGATGAACGCACTGGTGTAACGCCAGCAGCGGCTCGCGGACGACATGCAGGTTGATGCTGAAGTTCACCGCCAGTTTCTTTGCCAGAAATCTAATCTCCATCATCTCTTCATCACGACGGTCCTGCTCGAGGCCTGAGAAGAGCTGCTCTCACACACACACACACACACACACACACACACACACACACACACACAGGGTGAAGAGAGATGATGCAGGTCGCTGACTGAACCTACACACACTAACACAACTCACAAACACTCTCCAGATCTGAGGAAGGACCTGCGCCTGGACACACACACACACACACACACACACACACACACACACACACACACACACACACACACACACACACACACCTGCTGCAGACACAAGCACACAGTTCTGGCACTTTCCACAGAGCTGATCATCTTGGTTTTGCTGAGAGTCTCTTTGATGATGTCACCAAAATCCCTGTAGAACTACAGAAACACACACAATACATTTATTAAATATTGTTGCTTTACCCGAAGCCTCTTACAGACAACACAAGCAGAAGCAGAGAAGAAGAAGAACAGAAGCTCATGTGAGATTAGATGCTTGGACACACTGATCTGATCTGAATAATGACACTATTGTCTGAATGTGTTGAACACACACACACACACACACACACACACACCTTATTGTAGTATTTGAGTATGTCCGTGGCGGCTCTGAGCTCCAGGACGCCGTATATGATGAGTTTACAGTATCCAGCCAACTGTATCCTCCTCTGCAGCAAAGCAGCCATCTTCCTCTCCTCATCCTCATCCTCGCCTGCACAACATCACACACACACACACCATCACACACACTAGAGGTTGGCCAGAGTGTAGTGTGTGTCTCATGAAACAGACGTCCATGGGGAGGCACTGGAAGCGTTGCACACACCAACATCAAATACGTCTCTTGCAAATCTGGAACGCGGTTAATAATAAAAGTATCGATACTAATAAATTTATGTTTCATGAGGTTTTTCGTTTCTGAGAATCGCGATGGTTTTGAAGTATCGGTGCAACACTACGGGGAAAACATGTTCATCATCCAGAGAAGACGGTGAAGGTCGGAACCCAGGAATGAGTTTTCAGTTAATGAAAAGATGCCTGAAATCAGTGCAGAAGAGCGGAGGACACGTCACATGACCACTGCACCTCACGCATCTGTGCATCTCAGCTTCAGCTTCAGACGTGCGTTTAGTGCATCAGGGCTCAAGAACAGCAGGATTACAGAGGAGCACATGCTGGGGTTCCCAGCTGTCAATCTGGAAGTTGCAAACCAACTGTGGGAACCAGTAACGGTGTCAGTCTCACGCCCCCCAGTGGAGAATCTGCATAACTGCAGCAACACATTCCTGTTCATTTGTTTACTAATTTGTCACTTGATGCGTAAGATTGCACTGATTTAGTTTTTGCTGGAAGTTGAAGTGTCTTTTGTTGGCATTGGATTTGATTTTATTTGGAAATATAAAAGATTGCACTTTTTTTTACATTCACTTTGAGAGGCTTTTGAACAAGCGCAGTATCGCAGCACATTTGTGTTGAAGTGAAATATGACTCATTGTCCTGTTCTGTTATATTTAGCTTTAAATAAAAAATCCCCCTTAATAGTGTGCCAGTTTTCTTCTCCCTGGTCTCGAAAATGCCATCAAATATCGATATTTTTCAAGGTATTGTATTGAAGTTAGAAATTCTAGTATCGAGACAACACTACAACAACAACAACAACGAGTGTGTGTAAATACTTCAGTACGAACGCTTTCATCAAACACGACGGCGTCAGGAGAGAGATTCATTTCTACAGTGTTATGTGTGTGTGTGTGTGTGTGTCGTGTTTCTCAATGCGTACATGAACTTGTCTGTGAGTCTGAGTGTGTGCATGTTTGTGAGTGTGTGCGCACGTGTGTGTGTGTGTGTGTACGAGTGAGTAGTGTCAATGTTTGTATGCGTGTGTGTTTGTGTGTGTACAAGTGTGGATGTTTGTTTATTTGTCTGTGTGTGTGTGTGTGTGTGTGTGTGTACACGAGTGTGTGTGAGTACACGAGTGTGTGTGTGTGTGTACAAGTGTGCATGTTTGTCTGTGTGTGTAAGCGAGTGTGTGTGTGTGTGTGTGTGTGTGTAAGAGTGTGTTTTTTATCAGTGTTAAATCTGGGGTGAAAGTGGCTAAAAGATCAATGTTTTGAACAACGCTTGATTGGGTGTCTGGTGTGTGTGTGTGTGGTGTGTGTGTCTGGTGTGTGTGTGTGTCTGGTGTGTGTGTGTGTGGTGTGTTGCACACACTCATGTACCGTTGAGCTCTTCCTCACTGAAGACGTAATCGATGATGAAAGAAGCCATTTCTGCTTTCAGAGACTCATCAGGACTGAAGCGCTGCAGCGGCGAACCGTCTCCGTCACACACACTCCCGAACACGAGCAGCACGTCACACAGACACACAAACGCCTGCACAAACACACACACACAGCATTCGCTCTGAAGTTTGACACCAACAAACACAACATGTGATAATACCAGCAGATCACACACACACACTCACACACACACACACACACACACAGAGCCATACCTGGTTCCTGACGTGACTCTGGGCCGCGGACAGACAGCTCACACACACCACACAGAAGCAGTGGAGAGACTTCAGCACACGCTTCAGCTCCACCTGAGACACACACACACACACACCAGATCAACATCAGCAGAATCAACACACACACACACACACACACACACACACACACACACACACACACCAGCAGAATCAGTGCTCCAGACTGCGACCAAAATTTGAGTGTGTGCGATTGATTTTTGCATCCAGTCACACATGTGCGCCCGGTAAATCTGCCACACGTTAAACGCATGATAAGCGTGGAAGCGGACGCGTCAATGAATCCGTGACAAGAAGAGCGCGATTAAACGTCTGTGGGAAGGAGACGGAGACAAATATCACAACCTGATGTGCGTCTGAGCAATAAGCGATCTATCGACACGTGACCTAGCAGCGAACACACACAACATGAAAGTGGAACTAAAATACGCAACTCATATCGGCTATGCTTCACGGACCGTGGGCGTTTTTATTAGGTGGGATCAATAATAGACAGAGCAGCGCATAGTGGAGCCCCCCGAACCACCGACAGTAATAAAGCCCCGAACAGTCGCTGGCCGATCTCGATCACGAGACACTATAGCAGATCCAGTGAAGAAATCCATTGACTTCGCCTCAGAATTAATAACATCATCGCTACGAGATCCAGTGAGAAACACTCTGATTCGGCGCAGAGTTCAACAGCGCTGATGTGGAGACCAGGAGAAACACTTACAGAGGCTTTCAGTCCACAAATCAGCCTATCAGAACCATGGATTTAGGCTAATGTAGTAAGTTAACTCTAACCATAAATATGATGTGACAGAAATACGGTAGTCAAACGCTTACAACGTAGCCTACACATCTTTGTCCTGCTCTTCAAAACTATAATATCATATATAAATGTTTTATTTTTTGTATTTTTTTGTGATGATCAACACATTTTTTTTCATCCTTCAAAGATTGTCCAAAAACAAAAATTTTTAAGATGTTGGAAAACTCTTATTTAAACATTAAAATTATTATTTAAAAAAAAAAAAAAAAGACATTATAAATGATAATAACTAAAGTGATTGTTATCGTCAGCCCCAGTGCTACCAGTTTTGTTTTGTTTTTTGCATAACTCGGTGTGAGTTCTGATTTGAGGTGGTGCTGCCCTCAACTTTGAGTCTGGAGCCCTGTGAACTTAAAACAGCACATCATAATGTTAAGTGTATTTATTATTAAAGAATTTGTCAGTGTTAGTTATTTTGGGGGAAATTTGAATAATTGCATTGCGAGCTGATTTAAGGTGTGCCCCTAAATTTTCTGCTTGCGCTCCTGAAATTTTCAGTCAGGGGCAACAGCGCTCCTAGTCAAAACAGTTAGTCTGGAGCCCTGAGAATCAACACACACACACACAGGGTTCCTGCACACTTTTTAAAGTAAAATTTAAGGCTTTTTAAGACCTTTTTAAGACCTGAAGAAATCAAAATTAATACCATACATTAGGGGTGTGCGATATTGACAAAAATATATCTCGATATTTTCACGTTTTGTTGATAAACACAAAACAAAAACAAAATCAGTAAAATATCAACTAATTTTTATCAACAATAATTAGTTGATATTTTACTGATTGTGTTTTTGTGCTGGTGCCATGGCTGGTTTAGGCCTGTTGTTGACAGCAGACTCGCGGAGATATTTATATTTTTCATATTCTATGCAGTGGTCAGTTCACAGCAGTGACAGAAATTATTAATTAATGTGCAATATTTGCCACCTTAAATTGATTTCCAGGGCATTTTCACCTATTTATGGAGGGTTTTTTTCCTAAACTTATTTAGAGTTATGCATCACGTGCATCACATATATACAGTAATTATACTTATTTATACAATAATATTTCATTACACAATAATTATACAGTACCACTGTTAGCAGTCAAATTAAATCAAAAATCCATCTTTGCAGTGCAGAGTAGACGCAGAAGCAGCCTTAGAAGTGGCATTAATATATACACTCCAATTACAATTGCATAAATCAAGCTATAAGGTTTTTAAAAAAAAATCAATATTCAATATTTAAATGTGAAATGATTTCTAATTTTTTACTTTTAATATGAAACTAAAACCGCCAGTAGGCGGCGGCAAATCGCTGTCTTAATAAGCGAGTTGAGGGAGTCATTCATTCAACCGATTTGTTCAAACGGGAAAGAAGCAAGTGATTGAATCGTTAAAATGACTCGTTCAAGACGCGGATTTCCTTCAAGAAATCATCGCTGTCTGTTGCATTGTGACTCTGCTATGGTTTCATTTTGAAATTCTAGTCGGCGAAATAAAGGGAAAACAAACAATATCGATAATGTTATGGCTAAAAACTAACTCACAATGTCACTTTATTTTTAATTTAACTATTGTATAACATAAATATCACACTTGTGCACGGGAAAACGGCACTCTTACTGATGTGATATTCTAATATAACAACATGATATAAATATAAGGCAAAAACTAATTTGGGGACATACCTATAACCATAATAAATACATGTCTATGCCTATAACTGCACACATCACGCCGTGATTTAAACACGAGAGACAAATGCGATGTCAGCTCACACTCACAGTGCCTCGTCCATCGTTAAAAGAATAGAGTATCATAATAGACAATACACATCGCACACCTCTACGCACATAAAGAATTAACTTACGACTTAACTGACATTTGCCAACTTTCTCCTCTCCTCCTCTCCTGTCTCGCGTGCAGGAGACGGACGTTATTCTGCCGCGAATGTGACGCGAATTGTCACGTGAACAAGCAAATCCACAAAGATAAAAATTAATACGTACGCAAATTAGATGGTTTTAATTTGGAAAACATTAAGATATGACTGAGTCGAAGTGTCATCTAAAATTTAAGACCTTTCATACCTAAAAATAAGACTTTATAAGACTTTTAATGGCCTTAAATTTTAAATATCTAATTTAAGACATTTTAAGACTTTTTAAGGACCCGCGGGAACCCTGACACAGACACACACAGACACACACACACACACACACACACACACACACACTTGAGGAATGACAGACAGAGAGACGCACCTTGTGTGTTTCTGCAGTGTATTGCGTGATCGTCACTCCTTTCCAGAACAAATGGAAGGCTGCGCACTTCAGAGCTGGAACCATCAACTACACACACACACACACACTACAGTGTCATAATGAGGCAGTTTGTGCATGTGTGTGTGAGAGAGAGAGAGTGTGTGTGTGTGTGTGTGTGTGTGAGAGAGAGTGTGTGACAGGGACCTTTTCGTTGATTTCTCTCGTCTCCACTCCCATCTTCAGCAGTTGAAAGCAGAACTCAAACAGGTTTCTTCCTGTCATATCTCTGGCACTGATACACACACACACACACACACACACACACACACAGTTAAGACGCTTCAACACTATTTTAACAAGCACACACACACACACACTCTCACTCACACACTCTCTTTCACACACACACACAGTTAAGACGCTTCAACACTGTTTTAACAATCATGCACACACACATACACACACACACTCTCTCACTCACACACTGTCTCTCACACACTCTCTCTCACACACACACACACACACACCTGCTGAAGATGGCAAGAACGTTCAGAGAGGAAGCTGCTCTGTAGAAATCATCTTCATCAGCCGATCCCTGAGAAACACACACACACACACACACACACAAACTGATGCTGTTTACATCCGTGTATTTTTAAGCAAATGTGAAATTTATTGCATAAACTCTGAATTGAAACACAAAGATGGACTTAAACCTTGAGATGTGCATAAAACATTGAGGTGGATCATCTCGAACACGCCTCAGAACCGCGAGATCGGATAACTGGAGTTTAGGTCCGTCCAGAAGCGTCACACACACACACACACGCACACACACACACGAGTGTGTTTCCGAACGGCAGAGAGCACGACAGCGTTAGCGGAGTTAGCCGACGCTCGACACACTCGTTCATGACGGAGGGAGCAGTGGAAGTCTGCATGATTTGATGAACTCTGGGGTCAGAGGTGTTTCTGGGCTCCTTGACCTGTGTTGACATGCCCTGACATCTGTGCTTTTTCCAGTTGCTTATTAACATATTAATGGCAAAGGTCTAATTACACTCTATTTAGCACCAACAGGGCTAGCATGGGTCATTATCGTTTAAAGGCATACGCACTGAAACAGAGCTGTTTCGACCAGGTAAAATGAGTTTTCTTACAATACTAATGCAAAGTATATTACAAACTTTTCATTTAGACCCTAAAGAATCAAATGAACTTGTGTGAAAATGTCATTATATGACCCCTTTAAGCTGGAGCCGCGAAGTGAAACTAAACCGGCACAGCATCATTCATCCCAGCGTGGTGAAGTACACGAGTCTGAAACCTGATGTGCTGAGGGGGCGTTGGCATGTTTGCGTGGATTGCCTCAGATCGTTTGCGTTTGAATAGCGCGCGCTCTCCGCGGGCGTGGTCACGTTAGCACTTAACGAGCTGTAATGAGAATGACTGACATCTCTCTCTTTACATAAACTGAGAATATATGTTTTTATGATAAATGACTTCATTTAAAAGAAGAGAATTCAAGCTTGATGCCTGTGTGCCTGGACTCCCGCTTGACTGAGTTTCGCTGCGTTAGCTCATTTTCGGACGCAAGCGAGAACGCGCATATCTTTATTTTTCTTTACTTGGCGAAAAGCACAACACTTTGTTTTTATTGTGTGTATACACAAACAATAGACACTTAAAGGGTTAGTTCACCCAAAAATGAAAATTCTGTCAGTATTTACTCACCCTCATGTTGTTCAACCCCGTAAGACCTTCGTTCATCTTCGCAACACAAATTAAGATATTTAAGATATTAAGATCACTCCTGCATACAGTCCATAGGCTTCTTGAGGGACTGGCTCTTGCTGTCCTCGAAAAGTCATTAAAGACATCGTTAAAATAGTCCAAGTGACTACAGGGGCTCAATCTTAACTTTATCAAACGACGAGAACACTTTTGTGCGCAAAAAACAACAAAAATAACGACTTTATTTCAACTATTCACTTCCTTCTCCATGGGCCTGTAGTCAGTTAACGTAGTGTGATTGCGTAGAGCTACGTCACACGTAGGCTCACTATTGGCCGACGCTGGTCATGTGTGTGTGATGCGTGTGACGTACAATAACAGAAGCTTACGCTATTAAACTAGTAACCTGACTCGCGCAGAGGGAGAAATAAACCAATAGTTGAAATAAAGTCGTTATTTTTGTTGTTTTTTTGCGCACAAAAGTGTTCTCGTCGTTTGATAAAGTTAAGATTGAGCCCCTGTAGTCACTTGGACTATTTTAACGATGTCTTTAATGACTTTTCGAGGACAGCAAGAGCCAGTCCCTCAAGAAGCCTATGGACTGTATGCAGGAGTGATCTTAATATCTTAAATATCTTAATTTGTGTTGCGAAGATGAACGAAGGTCTTACGGGGTTGAACAACATGAGGGCGAGGAAATACTGACAGAATTTTCATTTTTGGGTGAACTAACCCTTTAACAGGATGGGATGATGTGAATAACACTCGCAAGATCAAAATCAACAGAGTATTTTGAGTCTCTTTTGCACTAATAAGAAAGCGATCTGGTCACGCTGACGTGACCTCCGACCCCAGGGGTTAGGGTGTGTTGTGTGATAGAGCACCTGCAGGATCTCGCTGAGGCTCGCGCTGAACTTCTCCACGGTGGAGTCCAGCATCTGTCCGACGGCTCTCTGCACACGCCCACAGAACGAGTAGCGGTCCGCGCACAGCGCACACAGCACGCGCACACACGCCTCCAGCACACACTCCTCACTGTGCTTCAGCAGCACGTCACACACCTGAGACAGCAGCAGATCCAGACACTGACACACACACACACACACGGTTGTAAATTAGCTATAGCTAAAACATTATGACACATGCATCAAGTTACTGTCAAAGTTTATCCATGTTATTTGTCTCGGTCCTGATCTAAATAAACTTAAATAAATACAAACAACAGAAAATTATATATTTGAATGCATCTCATTTGCATGACCATTTTACATGAGTAGGGTTTAAACCGGATGCTAAAACTTTTAAATTACAGTTCATAAAGGTCATTATTCAACAACAGATTCAGATCTTCATGCGTGAACAAGGCATTTGCTTTTATGAACATGTGTAACACTGTGATCAGAAACTCCTACTTTCTCCAGGCGTCCGGATGTGCCGTACACCTCCAGCTGGAAGAACAGCGGCGCTGAGAGCAGCCGGCTCACCTTACCCCCGTCTGCAGAGAACTGAGGAAACACTGAGTTAAACACCGCATCGCGTCTGTCTGAAGGCCACAGTTAAAGAGCCGCGGTGGCCAAAGCGGCGTCTCGAACACCGTGAGCACACTACAGGCGGCAGATCGTGTCTCCATCAGCAGGAGCGAGAGTGAACACACACACACACAAACAAACATCGGCTCACGGTATCACCAACACACACACACAAACAAACATCGGCTCACGGTATCACCAACACACACACACACACAAACATCGGCTCACGGTATCACCAACACACACACACACACAAACATCGGCTCACGGTATCACCAACACACACACACACACACAAACATCGGCTCACGGTATCACCAACACACACACACACACAAACATCGGCTCACGGTATCACCAACACACACACACACACAAACATCGGCTCACGGTATCACCAACACACACACACACACAAACATCGGCTCACGGTATCACCAACACACACACACACACAAACATCGGCTCACGGTATCACCAACACACACACACACACAAACATCGGCTCACGGTATCACCAACACACACACACACAAACATCGGCTCACGGTATCACCAACACACACACACACACACAAACATCGGCTCACGGTATCACCAACACACACACACACACACAAACATCGGCTCACGGTATCACCAACACACACACACACACAAACATCGGCTCACGGTATCACCAACACACACACACACACAAACATCGGCTCACGGTATCACCAACACACACACACACACAAACATCGGCTCACGGTATCACCAACACACACACACACACAAACATCGGCTCACGGTATCACCAACACACACACACACAAACATCGGCTCACGGTATCACCAACACACACACACACACAAACATCGGCTCACGGTATCACCAACACACACACACAAACATCGGCTCACGGTATCACCAACACACACACACACACGTCGGCGTTCACTGAACTTCATATTTTGGGCGAACGTGAACTGAACACACTGTATTACAGTCTGATGAACATTACTGTGAACTCATTCATTGAACTTTGAACTAGTTCATTTAGAATAGTTCATCCCCATCGCCGGCGTTAGATCTGCGCTAGAGGCTGTAACGCTAACCCTACAGCGTGATCTAGCTGCTCTGTGATGCGAGATCGATGCCGCTGACTCACCTTCGCCAGCAACTGAGGAAACACAGGGATGAAGTGATTAGTGATGCGCTTTCGTTCCTGGACCTGCAGACGCTTCTCCCGCGCAGTCACAGTCTACACACACACACACACACACACACACACACACACACACACACACACACACACGTTTGCCAAGATGATAACTGAGATAAGTGTGTGAGATACTAATCTGAAAGGAGTGATTACAGAAATCTTTGAGCTGAAAGTGAAACCATGCTGATTGCACATCAAATAATTGATAATGAAAACAATCGAGTAATTGAACTCTTAATTGAACTAATTTGATTATAGATCAAGTTATAGATTAAAGTGTCTGTGAACAGAAAACACCATCGCGATGTTTAATGGAGGAGCGGCTGCACAGAAGCTGGCCATATTAACATGTGAGAGGATTTATCAAGAGCAAGCCGACGAGGAAAGGGTCAGGTTAGCTTCTCAGATTTACAGGACGAGGAAAGACAGTTCATGCAGTTTTTAACCCTTTCCTCACCAGCGGTTTTTAAAATAGACGATCTCAGCCGCTGCCAGCGATTTTGGTCATTATTACAGAATTTCATGGCCTACAGAACCTTTTGTTGTATAAATATCTGAACAAAAAAAATGTTTTTGCTACATGTATTCCCTTTTATTCACATCTGAATGTGGGTTAGCTTATTTCAAAAACTAAATTTGAGCAAAAAGAAATCCCTTTATGTCAAAAGCTTCCTCAAGGTCAAACACAGACCGACTCCATCGACGCCTCGAAGCTGCAGTCCTGGGTCAGCTTTCCTTCAGTGACATCACACAGGGTTAAATTATATGCCGTTTAATGTTTGATAAGCACTTTATATTTGAGATGTGCATCTGCAATGCTTCTATCGCATGTTTCTGCTTCTTCTTCTGTGTTTTGATCAGTAGATCGATAAATCCTTCAGACGTGTAACAGCGCCCTCTACAACTTAATTTAACCATTTACAAGCGTTGAGTTATGCATATAACTACTGTTCCCAGAAGGAGGGAAACGAGGGACAACACATTCCTATGGGATATCGCGCTCTAGCGCCATCTGCTGAGGACACCTTTACTCACGCCTGAACGGCCAATGACGCATGACGACGTGGGCGGGGCTACCTGCCCACAGCATATAACTGCAGTCGTGTGGGTCATTCCCTTCTTCAGCTCTTCAGCGGGCCCAGAGGTGTTGTGCCCCGCTTCCCTCCTCCTGGGAACAGTAGTTATAACTCAGCGTCTGCCAACTCGGTTCAACACATTACTATGAGACCTATATTCACGCACCGCCAAGTCGCTGAACTAAACGTAAGGGACCAGCACCGTCACATGACCCTTTTTCAAAGGAGCGACGGCCCCTGGCTAAAGGATCCCTGCCGTGAGCATGGCCTGAGTTACCATGCCCTAGCGTGCCCACACACCCCTCTTCATCTGCTACACACAGCTCGAACTACTCCCTGAACTTGTGCTCAAAGTTCTCTCTTTCTGCCTGAGTTTCGACAAGCATCACCAACGTGAGTTTTTATTCTTGTGAAATGTGGCGTGTTCCGACAGCACGATGAACACAGACGTCTTCAGCAGATGGCGCTAGAGCACCGTATCCCATAGGCATGTGTTGTACCTCGTTGACCGACTGAATGGGAACCATTGTTTCTATTTTATGCATAATGTATAACATTGAATGTATAGACGCCTTCCATTTCCACATTTATTTGAATGGCAACATTAGGCTGGATGTGGAATAACACCGTTTACAAATAATCTTTTTACCCTTGGCTGCTTAATCCCATTAATCAAAGAAATAATTGGCCAATTAATTCATGATCAAAATAATCATTAGTTGCAGCCCTACATTAAAGTCTTGTAAAATGTTAATAATCCAGATGCTGTATTGAAGGTCTTAAGCACACACACACACACACACACACACGTGTCTTACCTTCCTGGTGGAGCGTGGGGGGGGGGGCGTGGCCTCGGCTGCCTGTCTCACTGCACACATCATGATGTCAATCAACGCACTCTCCAGCTCATCCTCCACACCTGCACACACACACACACACACACACACACACACACATCTGAGTTTGAATAAAGTTCTCTAAAGTCACACACTGAACACGGACTCACCTCCTTCCTGCAGCAAGAGTGATGTCATCACATCCCAGTCTTTTAGCTCAGCCCGCGCAACGTCCCACAGACTGTCGACTAGATACGCAGCGTGATCATGATACTAACACACACACACACACACACACACACACACATCACAGGCTGTTCATCTGGGTAAAATATCAACATACAGTGAAGTACATGAACACCAGGAGTCACATTTATGACACGCACGTATGATCAAATTTAATCCGAAATAACAAGGAATCTGTCTTGGATCAAATCTGAGAAACAAATTGGGGTTTATAAAGGCAGAAACTAAGATGAATAAGTTCTTAGGGATTCTAATAATTATGGCAACATCATCTATGAACATCTAGTGAATCACTGTATGCTGTGTTCACTTAAATTAAACATGATCATCAGTTGATCACGTGACCCATGCTGTAATCACATTATCAAATGAAACAACATCATTTTTTGTCTTTTGGAAGATGCATTCAGAACCATTTGGCTCAAAGGTCTGAGGGTGTGCGAGTGTGTGCGAGTGTGTGTGTGTGTGTGTGTCCTGAGGGTGTGCGAGTGTGTGTGTGTGTGTGTGTGTGTGTCCTGAGGGTGTGCGAGTGTGTGTGTGTGTGTGTGTGTGTGTCCTGAGGGTGTGCGAGTGTGTGTGTGTGTGTGTGTGTGTGTGTCCTGAGGGTGTGTGTGTGTGTGTGTGTGTGTGTGTGTCCTGAGGGTGTGCGAGTGTGTGTGTGTGTGTGTGTGTCCTGAGGGTGTGCGAGTGTGTGTGTGTGTGTGTGTGTGTGTGTGTGTGTGTGTGTGTGCGTGTGTGTGTGCTGAGGTTGTGAGAGTGTGTGTGTGTGTGTGTGTGCTGAGGTTGTGAGAGTGTGTGTGTGTGTGTGTGTGCTGAGGTTGTGAGAGTGTACACTAGTTTCCAGGTACAAACATCCACACAAATCAGTGACAGTCATGGCAAAAAACATTCATGCATTCTTAAGTGAAACTAAACACTTTTTATGGTAGCTGCATGCACACAGATCATGTGACCTGTGAGAGAAAAGAGAGAAGCAGGTGCATGATGGGATTGAGTGGTTCACCTCGCTCTTAATGAAGAAATGAGCCAGCAAACGGAGAAAACAAACACTGCGTTTGTCTGAGCGCTTGTCCAACACACTGCACAGCCTGCACACAAGATCACAACACATGACGGTCCGTGTGTGTGTGTGTGTGTGTGTGTGGAGATGATGATGATGATGATGAACGTACGTGTGGTACAGGAATGCTCCGGCTGCGCAGGCGAGACCTCGGTGTGTGGAGAAAACCAGAGGATACACAGCAGCGCACTCGTCCTCACTCAGGCCCTCTTCTGTCTGCCTGCACACACACACACACACACATTTTCAAAAATACACATTGCATACACGCACACACACACACACTTGTACGATCAATGCTGATGCTTAGAAGCCGAGACACGCGTTCAGTAGTGACATCACTTCCTCCAGCTGAAACTCACTGTTGGATGAGCAGCATCAGCTTCACTGCTTCCACGGCCACATCCGAGTCCTTATCCAGGATCATACACACCATCCGTTCCTGAGGAGGAACACACACAATCATCATCATCATCATCATCATCATCTCCACACACACACACACTCACCCTGAAGCGGCTGGTGAACAGCTCGAGGCGGCTGATGAACTCCTGCTCGTACAGCTTCTGGAGGGTCAACACACACTGCAGACGCACCGCCGCTTGCTGAAACACACACACACACACAGTGTGACAAACTCTCAGATTTGATCCTCAGTGTGTCTCCGCTCAGCGCACCTTGTCATGCAGCATCCAGCCCACGTATTTGAGGTGCTCGTCGTTGAGGAAGCGCGCGGGATAGTCCCGGATCCACACGCCCATCTCCTGCATACACACGGCCCGGATCTCAGGGACACGGTCCCGGTACCGGTGCACGAACACACCCTTGAAGATCCCGTTCATCAGAGAGCGCAGGTCCTCCTGATGCTCCAGCAGCTGCACACACACACAGATTATAGCTAACATGAGTGTGTGTGTGTGTGTGTGTGTGTGTGTGAGTGTGTGTGTGTGTGTGTGTGTGTGTGTGTGAGTGTGTGTGTGTGTGTGTAACCTCTCTGTAGGAGTTCTCTAGTTCTTCTGCTCGGTGTACGGCTCGATGTTCCACTGGTTTGTTCTTCTCCAGCTCGCAGCGTCTCTGGGTCATCAGCGCTAGAGCGTTCACATCTGCAGCGACCGACACTATAGACGACATCAAGCGCATGGCTACACACACACACACACACACACACACACACACACACACACACACACACACACACACACACACACACACACACACACACACACACACACAGACTCCTTAAGCACCAATTATTACAAAGTTTTTCCCTGTAATGACAGTCAGACGATGAACGCGCTCAGATTGATCCCAGTGATGAAGCGTTACAGGATCTCTCGACAAAAACTCCACAAAAAAGTTTTGAAACATAGAAATTACATGATCTGAGTGTGTGATGCTCTGGCGTGAGTGTGTGATGCTCTGGCGTGAGTGTGTGATGCTCTGGCGTGAGTGTGTGATGCTCTGGCGTGAGTGTGTGATGCTCTGGCGTGAGTGTGTGATGCTCTGGCGTGAGTGTGTGATGCTCACCGATGAGTGTGCTGGTGTGCCTGAAGGCGCGCACCTGCGAGTCGGCCAGACCCGTGAGCAGAGCGATGAGTGACGAGAAGAGGAAGTCGTCGTACAGGAGAGTGTGGCGGCATCCGCGGACCAGCAGAGACACAAACTCACACACACCCTCGCGAAAGTGACGCCACTGAGGGCCGAGCGACACCAGCGGATAACTGACCGAGTCCTGCAGCGAGAGAGTTAGTGAGAGAGAGAGAGTGGGTGTGTGTGAGAGAGTGAATGAGTAAGTGTGTATGAGTGAGCGTGTGTGTGAGAGAGAGAGTGAGTGGGTGTGTGTGTGTCAGTGAGTGAGTGTGTATGAGTGAACGTGTGTGTGAGAGAGAGAGTGAGTGGGTGTGTGAGAGAGAGAGTGAGTGAATGAGTAAGTGTGTATGAGTGAGCGTGTGTGTGAGAGAGTGAGTGGGTGTGTGTGTCAGTGAGTGAGTGGATGAGTGAGCGTGTGTGTGTGAGTGAGAGAGAGTGGGTGTGTGTGTGTGTCAGTGAGTGAGTGGATGAGTGAGCGTGTGTGTGAGAGAGTGTGTGAGTGTCTAAGCACAATCCTTCATGGTTCCTGCACACTTTTTAAAGTCAAATTTAAGGCTTTTTAGACCTTTTTAAGACCTGAAGAAATCAAAATGAAACCATACATTAGGGGTGTGCAATATTGACAAAAATATCACAATATGTTCAACGTTTTGTTGATAATGATTAGATGATATTTTACTGATTGTGTTTTTGTGCTGGTGCACGGCTGCTTTAAGCCTGTTGTTGACAGCAGACTCACACATATATTCATATGTTCATATTCTATGCAGTGGTCAGTTCACAGCAGTGACAGAAATTAATATTTTTATTAAAGGGCAATATTTGCAACCTTAAATTGATTTCCAGGGGCATTTTCACCTATATATGGACATTTTTTCAAAAACTATTTAGAGTTATGCATCACCATTTATGTCAAATACTAGTACTAATTATACTTATTTATACAATAATACTTAATTCTACAACAATTATACAGTATACTGTTGTTAGCAGTCCAATTAAATCATTCAATCAAAATCCATCTTTGCAGTGCAGCGGTGACACCGAAGAGGCATCAGAAGTGGCATTAATACTTACACTCCATTTACAATTGGCAAGGCAAGGCATAAATAAAGCTGAGATAGCTGTTTAAAAAAAAAAATCAATATTTAAATATGAAATGATTTGTAATTTCAACGTTTTAATGAAAGGGTACTTTAAATATGAAACTAAAACTGCCAGACAGTAGGCAGCGGCAACCAATGTTGTTTTCATCAACAATGACGATGACGAAATTATTTAGTTGCCGCACTTTTTTTAATGATAACGCGACAATGACTAGCTAAAGGTGACTAAAACATTACGAGACATGTTCGAGTTTTCGTTGACGAGATGAGACGGAACGAAATTGATTATAAGTCTCTCTTTTTTTCAGTAGAAAAGAAATTATGTTTTTTGAGGAAAACATTTCAGGATTTCTCCACAGTGGACTTCAACGGTGACCAAACAGTTTGATGTCCAAATCCATGCAGTTTCAAAACAGCTCTGCACGACCCCAGCTGAGGAACAGGGTCTCATCTAGCGAAACCATCGGCCATTTTCTAAAACAAATAAAAATGGATATACTTTTTAACCACAATTGTTGGTCTTGTGCTGGTCTGCGACGCGCCAGGTATTGCGTCATCACGGTGGAAAGGTCACGCTGGACGTAGGCGGAAGCACCACCCCATTGTTTTAAACATCCAGGATACGCACTCGAAAGGAACATTTTAAACAACAAACTGACACAAAGACATAAATGTCATTCAAAATACAATAAAATTTGAACCATCCTCCTCCACGCTTGTAAACAATGGGGCGGTGCTTGCGCCTACGTCCAGCGTGACCTTCTGCAAACTGTTTATGGATCGTTTTACACTATTGTGTCGCCAGACACACAGCACATCTGCTGACCCGTGTGTGTGAACCCTAACGCTGCGATTCCCTCTGACCCGAGGAACATGTGACCCATAAGGGGAATATATAATGCGGCCTCTGACCTCGTTAAAATCTTTGGTCAGGTGACTGATGATGTCAGCGTTCTGCAGGCTGCTGAACATCTCTCTGGTGACGACACCTGAAACACAACAGAGGCGGTTCGCTGCAGAACACACAGATATCATTGTGTGTGTGTGTGTGACGTCACCTTTGCAGCCGCTGCACTGAACAATGAAGTTGATGAGCTCCAGAAGCCCCGCCTCCCGGTCACGCCTGTACTCGTCCAGCCAATCATCGGTCACCGTCTGGGAGGAACAGCTAATCAGAGCAAGGAACATACTGAACACACACACACTGGACACTGAACACACACTGAACACACACACTGGACACTGAACACACACTGAACACACACACTGGACACTGAACACACACTGCACACACAAGGTCAAGTCATCTTTATTTATATAGCGCTTTTACAATACAGATTGTGTCAAAGCAGCTTCATGTGATAACATGAAAATAACACAACAAGTTTGTTTCTAGAAGAAAATTGCATCAATGTCCACCTTAAAGTAAGGCAGATCAATCATATTGTTGAATATTAAATGTCCCCAACTAAGCAAGTCAAAACTCAAAGCAACAGTGGCAAGGAACCGAAACTCCATCAGGGACAGAATGGAGAAGAACCCCTCAGGAGAACCCAGACTCAGTCGGGGCCAGTTCTCCTCTGGCCAACGAAAGAACAGTGATTACAAAACAAATCGGATCGAAACATTAAGAGAATTGTCCACAACATTAAGAGTTTGGAGATCGCAGTAGACGTGAAGGACTATAATGCGTTCAGAGCTCGCTCAAGTACTGGAGATAAACCATTCAGTGCTTTATAAGTAATCAGCAATATTTTAAAATGTATACGATGTTTATGAGATTGGTATCAAAGAGCACACACACACACACACACACACACACACACACAGGTTCCTAAGCGACGACAAAGACTTAACAGAGCAGCCATCGAGTGTTAGACAGTATTCAAGGTTATTACAAGGTTAAAACTTTATTACTTAAGTTTTTTTGTCCAATAATTGGAATCTCTGTTTTTTCAGAATTTAGTAGTAGGAAATTACTAGTCATCCAGTTTTTATATCAGCTATGCATTCCGTTAATTTTGTGAATTGGTAAGTTTCGTTAGGTTTAGAAGAAATATACAGCTGTTCAGCATAACAGTGAAAGCTAATTCCATGTTTCCAAATGATATCTCCTAATGAATTTAAAGGGTAACTAAAGCCTGACTCCACCCACTGGCAATGCCAACTAGCCTCTCCCTATGGAGGATCCCTGTCCCACTCCACAGATAAAGCAGTGCGAGTTTGCTTCGCGTCCATACCCTGAAGTGATAAAACAAAATTCTGTATCAAGACAAGACAAGTAGTTTGTTCAGGCATGAGGGATTTATAAACCTGAGCTCATATATTCAAACACACATAACTATAGAATCAATTCTTAATGCGCATGTGAACGCCATCAGCGTTTATCACAGGTTCAGTTTAAAGTCTGTTTAGAGACATTCATATACATTATTACCCTACAGTTACTGTAAATCCGGCCTCTAGTTCAGAAACGCCAGAGGAGAACTGACCCTGACTGAGCCTGGGCTCTACTAAGGTTTTTATTTTTCTCCTTTAGGTCACCTGATGGAGTTTTAGGACATCTTTAGGTCACCTGATGGAGTTTTAGGACATCTTTAGGTCACCTGATGGAGTTTTAGGACATCTTTAGGTCACCTGATGGAGTTTTAGGACATCTTTAGGTCACCTGATGGAGTTTTAGGACATCTTTAGGTCACCTGATGGAGTTTTAGGACATCTTTAGGTCACCTGATGGAGTTTTAGGACATCTTTAGGTCACCTGATGGAGTTTTAGGACATCTTTAGGTCACCTGATGGAGTTTTTCGATATTCAAATGAATGAACCCATCAGTAATCCCCATGATCAGCTCTACCAAACGTGGATGTTTTTCCACTAAGAAACGAACATTGTTATTATGTTTTGATTGATGTGAAGCTGCTTTGATGTAATCTATATTGTGAAAGGCGCTATATAAATATACTTGACTTGACACTGAACACACACTGCACACACACTGGACAGTTGCACACACACTGGAAACTGAATACACGCTGCACACACACTGGACAAACTGCACACACACACTTGACACTGCACCCTCGGTGTGTATGTCTCACCTGCAGCGCACTACGGCCCGACCGCACGGCCTCGTACAGGTGAGACGCAGAGGTGTGTGTGTGGCCCTCTGGGATCTCTGATTGGCTGTCCTTCGAAGCCTGTGATTGGCTGGAGCTCGAACCGCTGACTGACGGAGGATGAACCTCCTGAGGAGACTTCAGAGAAACAGAGGAGTTCCAACACGTGAGTGTGTGTGTGTGTGTGTGTGTGTGTGTGTGTGTGTGTGAGAGAGAGTGAAAGAGAGTCTGTGTGTGTGTGTGTGTGTGTGTGTGTGTGTGTGTGTATGTCTGTGTGTATGAGAGTGTGTGTGTGTGTGTGTGTGTGTGTGTGTGTTTTGAGAGTGAGTGAGAGAGAGAGTGTGTGTGTGTGTGTGTGTGTGTGTGTGTGTGTGTGTGTGTGTGTGTGTGTGTGCTCACAGTTGCTCCCCGTGTCGAGGTCAGTTTTCTCCCAGAGGTTTTCAGCTGAAACTCAAAGTCACTTCCGGTCAAAGAGATGTCGTCGTCGTCCCCTGAACTGCGTCACACACACAAACACGATCAAATGACGGAACGACATCAGAGTTCATATGTGTGTGTGTGTGTGTCTGTGTGTGTAAGTGAGTACCTGTACAGCTCCGACTCATCCATGCTGCTGCTGGTCTGCAGATAAACACACACTCGTTATTGATCACATGCAGTTATTGATGTGTTCTGATCGATCAGCAACAGGTTTGAGTTCCAACAGCAGAAACTGATCCTGAACACACACACACACACACACACACACACACAACACACACACTACAAATCACAGCGTGGAGAGAGTGACGCGAGGTGCTTCCCTGTCACCCTGAGGATCGAACCTCACAGGTGTGTGTGTGTGTGTGTGTGTGTGTGTCTATTCCACACACAGGATCACAATAGGAACGTGTCAAACAACTATGCTAAATAACTTCTGAATCATTTTGTTATTTTAAACTGGTTTCCAGAATGGAACTAGTGGAGAGAACTGGTTCGTGGACTTCCTTTCACTGCTCCACTCATGTGTGGGAAACCCTCACACTAGAGCTTCTAAAAAGCACATGACGTGAACATGACAGAAACACACACAACGCCGCTCGATGAATCGACGTCTTCTGGAACAAACGGACAGGTGTGTGTAAGATAATAATATTGTATAGCATGTCTTCTGTGTTGAGCTGCTCCTGTTGCCTGTGATGCAATAGTTAGGGTTAGCTATAGTGTTCTCGTGCGGCAGAGATGAGTTAGGGTTACACATGAAAGATACTCATTTGTCGCCACCTACTGGTCTAAACATGCAACAACACTGAACAAATCTTTTTGGTGAAAGTACTCCAAAATAATGAGATTAATCTAAATTTGCATCACTACTTGACATCATAAACGTCAGCATTTTGTGAAGCATCACTAGGCAGCATGTGATGGCACACTTCACTCCTATAGTGGCCTGGCGATCTTCCTCGAGTCTGCAGACAGCAGTGTGTGACTGGAGGAGTGTGTCCAAACCTGCTGCAAACTCACAGTTCTGATAAAAAAAGTCGGCAAAAAAAATTAGTAATTAAACGTTTTTACTTCCGGCGAGATTCTGAAGTGTGCATATGATGAGCACTTTACAATCCTGAGGCCACGGATCGCGAACTCTCTTGAAGGAGTACTTACTTTGCGAGAGCTAAAAAGTAAATAAAAAACGATAAATAAAAAACTAAAAAGAATGTAACGTTTATCGTAACTGACATTCGCCACGTTGGCCGTTTGTCATGTGACCTTTGCGTCAGTTGCGTCGCTTTAGTGACGTTCATAAATCCGGTCTAATCTTTCTTTATATATCTTACTAACGTTACGTTTTTGCTAAATTGTATAGGTCAAGTTTTACACCGTCATTCACTCTCGAGGATTATTAACGTTACTTCATCAGTTAAAACTGCTCTCAGGCATTCAAACCTACAGTGATTGAACACTAACGAATGAGTAAAACATGACAAACAAAGCAAAAAAATCCCTCTACACACAAAAATACTGATCAAACCATCCGTTAACATTAACCGATGCAAAACCAACATGAGAAAACCGCAAAAGCTTTTAACTTAACTTACCTGACAAAATCTGAATTTTTGAAGTAAATTTAATTTAAACTCGATAATCTGTCCGAAGAAAGTCTCTCAACTCCGAATCAGTTAATGGACAACGTCGGCAGAATCCCAAGTATTGATCACTATCGGAAGAAAACTGTAGTGTGAAGTTATTGATCTGTCTGTGACAGACTGATAGACCGCGCGCAAATCCTCCACTGGTCAAGGCTAAGAAACATATCTGTGAGATGATTGGCTGGTGACTCTGGCCGTCTGGAAGATGATTGGTTAATGCCTGAACAGAGTCAAGTCTGATTGGATGAATCCTGCATTGGCACAAGGCATAGCAACCGTTGTTTGTGCACTCCTTGATTAATTAATTAATTTCTTTATTATATTCTTGATCGTTGGCAAAGTCTCAAAATGTTTCTTATTGGTTTTTTTATTTTAAATTGTTTTTATATTCGTATTGAATTATTAATGATAAGCTGGCAGCGATCAGCGAGTCACGTGTTTATCCTGATAATTGGAAAAACGTTCTGACTTTCTTTTACTGTCTATGCGTTCTGACTGAGACTATATTGTTCTAGTGATGTATTATGTACAGTATGTTAATAATAATTATAATGTGAATAAAACTTTGATACTAACATTGCATTCTCGCTATTGAGCAAAAAGTATCGGTTCAGAATTGTGTATTTAGGGACATTCTAAAACGCTTAACGTGGCTTACTAAAACAGTAATATTAAAAGACCAAACTCAGTAAACATCTTTAATAAGCTCATACTAATAAGCTAGATTATGTGCAAGCCACGTTATGCCTTTTCTAATAGCGGTTTTCTATGGGAGAAAAATATGCTTAACGTGTAATTAAACGCGTTGCATTCATATTCTGTCTCATTTATTTTTTTTGCACATAGTATAGCTTATTAATGTTTACTGAGTTTGGTCTTTAAATATTACTCTCTTAGTACAGTTAGCCACGTTAAAGGTCCTATATGTAACTTTTTTTATAAAACGACTGCTTTTTTTATTGCCGGTGTTCTGACATTCCATCCTACCCGTCAGATTGTCCTACCAAGGCTTACTGCGCATGCGCACATCAATAATACGTCATTTTTTGTCACGCTGAACAACACGCCCATAATATTTTACTACTTGCGCGAGATCTTCTTCATCTGAGGTAAGTTTTTCACTATACAAAGATATATAGCAGTAATGAGAACTGTTTACTCTCACATTCATACAAAGCAAATTCATATTAGCATTTTTTTCATGAAAACATTAACGTAAAATCATTCTACTCGTTTATTTCATACTGGTAGGACAATCTGATGAGGCATTTTGCACTGTAAAATCATACTACTCGTTTATTTCATACTGGTAGCACAATCTGATGAGGTATTTTGCAACGTAAAATCATCCTATCGTTTATTTCATAGGACAATCTGAAGAGGTAACGTTACTTTGCACTGTAAAATCACCGTAACATGGCCTAATAAGAAAATTCGGCAAAGTTACACAGAAATATTTTATGTAACTTAGTCACAGACGCGAAGCAGAAACGCTCAGTAGGATTTTACGACGAGGTAGGATGAACCGATAGATATGGCTATAATTTTGCGCTACGGTAGGAAAATCTGACAAGGTAGGACAGATCGACAGAACACCGGTGTTTGAAGGGGTTGTAATCACACATTGCAATGATCCACTTTTCGGTTTTTGCTATTACCTCAGAAGGCCAATATTCATATGTGAAGTCTGCGTGTCGGATTTCCTGCGAAATCCATCAGATGTGACGTGCATGCGCGCTCCCGAGCCTCTCTATCCTTACAGTCAACCACGCGACCAACGGCACTTCAGCTGACGACATGGGGTCTGATAAAAGGCGTATGATAGAGCAAGTCTCAAATTACTTAGGTACTATCATTGATGATAAACTTTCCTTCCAAGACAATGTGGATTTTATACATAAGAAAACTAGACAGCGTTTAAGTCTACTTAGGAAGTTCCGAAATTTTGACATTGAAAGGAGGATCTTAACCATTGTTTATAGATCAATGACTGAAAGTGTTTTAACTTATAATATTGTTTCATGGTATGGTAATCTTACAGTGAAACAGAAGAATAAACGAACACTAGTAATCAATGAAGCAAATAAACGTTTAAGACGTGTTTGAGATCTTTTCCTCAGGATGAAAATAAAAGGGGATGAAGTTTCTGGAATGTGTTGCGTCTGCAAAGCTGGTTTTATTAGCAGCTTTTAAAGTTTCAGCTTGGTGGAAAACATCTGTTTTTAACTAAGCAGAGAATAATCTGGGCGACAGCCGCTCAATAATGAATGCTGTCAGTCTGAGTCGTTTACATATAAAACTGTCGACAAGTTCAGTCTTATCCGAAACTTGCACTCGCTCTGTGTTTAATGTTTTATTGTTGGTGTGTGCGGTTAAAGCTGAGCCCGCGGCCGTGGGCGGGGCTTCAGCGCGGATCTGACCAATAGTCGGGCGAGCTGGAATGATTGACAGGTGCCGGGCGAGCAGAGAGTATAAAGCCTGTGTCGACTCAGTGATGGGAGAGATGATCTGAGATACTCTAGTCGCTTCAGTCCATGAGTTTACTCCTCTGTTACACAGGTCATGATGTCTGCGCTGAAACTGCTGTTCTTCTGCCTCCTGCCATGTGAGTTTCTATTCTATTCTATTCTATTCTATTCATTACATTTTATTAACTTACATTTATTCATTTAGCTGACGCTTTTATCCAAAGCGACTTACAATTGCTGTATATGTCAGAGGTCGCACGCCTCTGGAGATCGAGGGGTCAAGTGTCGTGCTCAGGGACACATTGCTCTCACAGTGGATTCGAATTCTGTTCTGTTCTGTTCTGTTCACTTTAATCATGTGCCGTGTCTTATTTATCAATATAAGCAAAAAATATTGTGTCCATATCTGTACCTCTTGAGGGTGAATTGTTGACTGTTTCCAGGTCAGCTGGAGGCCAGGTCTCTGATGGACGTCCTCCGCCAGGACGGTGAGCAGCTCTATAACAGCAATGACATGGGTTAGGGTTAGGGTTAGGGTTAGCTTCACACACACACACACACACACACACACACAGGTGTGTTCTGGAGGGATGGACGTTCCCTCTGTTTCTTTTGGTATAATTGATTCACAAGCTCTGTAACATATCAGTTTATTTTATTTTTTGTATTTGATTTATCTATTAATTTTTACATGATTTACATTGTCATTTATGTATGTTGGGTTGCTGTATTGGGACTTGTTAAGTCAAGTGTTTTATAAGTGTTTACAATTCAAAATCCAATACAAATATTTGAGTAATAATGTTCCTTTTGGTATCAGTTTGCAATAGTCAAATACAGTTGAAAAGAATGTATTACATTTAAATATTTAAAATACATGCAATATTACTGAAACGTACAGTAGAAATGATGAATTATCCTCAACTTCATGCCAACCGTTTTATTTCCTAAGATACAGAAAAGATGTTAATGCTTCATCTGTGTGTGTGTGTGTGTGTGTGTGTGTGTGTTAGATGTTGCTTCAGTCAGTATGGACTCCACCAAGGCGAATGAGTTCCTGTCCGGTTCGCGACCCAAACGCAGCGCTGATCCCCGCTGGCACCAGCAGACTCCAGACTTCCAGGCGTATTACCGATATTACAGCAGCATCGGGCACACCGAGGGGGTAAGACACACACACACACACACACAAGGACACACACACTTCACAGGCGCTTCACACACAGACAAACCCAACTGAATAATATATCATTGTGCGGTACTATAAATGGATTCAGTGATGATACACTGAAGAAAATTTTCCAAATTTTACAGTCGTCAACATTTGAAGTAGATCAGACCCTTTCATCAAAGCTATTCATGAATTTTGAAGAACACGTTCTCATCTTGTTGACTAATGTATTTATAATATACATTTTCACAGTATATATTTTATCTTGATATATGAAAATATAAAGCTGTCCCTCATATTTCTCCATGTATCTAAAAGACTAAAGCCCTTTCTCTCCCGCAGCTGTACGAGATCGACCGGATCCGGATGCTGTACCAGCAGATGAGGCACCTGGAGCACGTCTACGGGCCCAACGCCGCCCAGTACCAGAACAAACTGGGCCTTCCGGTTCTGCCACCGCTTCCCAAGTGTGATCCTGCCAAAGACAAGGGGTGTAAGCAGGCTCCGCCCCCCGCCCCAGTTAAAGGCCAGGCTCCGCCCCCCGCCCCAGTTAAAGGCCAGGCTCCGCCCCCCGCCCCAGTTAAAGGCCAGGCTCCGCCCCTCTCTCAGGCTGATGTGGTGTATCTGTGCAACAGTAAAGATCCGCTGTGTAAACCACACATCGTGTACATGCCCACCGGAGCCGTGCCGGTGCTGTGCGACCCGCGCTACCACCCCACCTGCGGTCTGGAGGCCCCGCCCCCTGCCCCGCCCCCGTCCAGAACACCTGAGCTGGCCCCGCCCCCTCCGCCCGCTCCCATGGTCTTCAAGGGCATGGAGTTCGACTGCGACCCGTACTGGGACCCCGACTGCCTGATCGACCACCCGCCGCAGCCCGTGAAGGGGAAGGTTCTGGTTCCGGCTCCGGAAGACGACGATCCGGATCCGCTTCCCGTCAGCAAGAAACACGCGTATCCGTATTATTACTCCCACCCTCATCCCTACAACTACCGGTCTGAGCTCTACGACCCGCTCCGGCACGCCTATCCTTCCGCCGACGCGTAGACGAGTCCACACACACCGGGTCATTTCAATGTGTGTTTCATGCTGCATAATCATGTTCAGAAATATCAATAAAACAGTAAACCAGTTTGAAGTGGAGGGAATGGTTGTGTTGTGTTTCAGGAAGCAGACGCTCGTGAAGCGTCCCGCCGAGAGGCTCCGCTAACGGCAGCAGATTCCAGATCATTAGCGGGACCTCCACAGCCGGCAGTGTTTAAAGAGGCTTTACAGCTGCTGAGCGAGCACAACACACACACACACACACACACACGCACACACACACGAGTTAATAGACAGTGTGAGAGTGTTAGCGCTAATGGTTTTGGTGCAGCTTATTAACATCTCTTTATAAATCTAATGTGTGAATCAGTAGATTTTTCATTAATGTCTTTTTAACTTATTAACAATAATTCTTCTGTTAGGAACTTATGGATAACGTGTCTCACTCAGCGGGAAACTGAGCTCA